AGTTTCGTAATGTTTAAACTGAAGTAGAATTCGTCGAATTTGTCTTGTTATTTTCAATCTACCACAATGGTAGATAATAGATTGGATATTAAAAAGAACTGTGAATTGGTGAGTACTCTGAAGCCATTTTGTTTGATTTCATACAATAATTCATATGTACTACTAGATATATGTGTGGTGTATGCTACTTATGCTGACAGATATAAGTAATATATAGCAGCAGCAGGGAAGGTGAATGCCTGTCAGCAGAAGATTACAATGAGGAGAACAGGAAGGAAATTGGTGAGCAATCGAAATAACAACAGAATAAGGAAAGTAATGAAGTGTGTAAAAGATAACAGAAAGAAGATGTGTAAATGATGTATTTAGTGTATGATTTTCATATTTTACTAAGCTACTGTGTGGTTTTTTGCCCATCTGAGTTCTCGTTCACTATATGTGGTTAATATAACCACAGTTTACATACAATGTATGTGAAACAACTTATTTTGCAAAATATTTGTATTAAATTCACCAACTGTAGCGAATCAAAGTAAATATCGTTTTTCTCATCTTTGTAAATTTGCAATAATCAAATGACCTGTCAATATTATGAATTTTATTTGTCCTCTGTGTATTATCTTCTCTAGATATTTAACCAAACATTCTTTTCCATATGATTCTTTTTTATCCATGAAAGGAAAGTCATCGACGTTTAAAACGTCTTATGACAATTATGGATAGTATGAATGATTATGAGTTAGACTCGGATGAAGGAGGACGTTTATTTAATCGACAACCTGGACGAACATTACGAGTTGCTCGTGGGGCAGGTGTTAGTCAAGCCGAAGTAAAACTTCTATTAACTCAACATAACAAATTTTATATGGTTGTCAAAAAAATGGGTGGTATCAAAGGACTATTTCAAACTGGATCAAAAGGTGGAGCTATGGGTGGATTAGGTGGTGGTCCTGGTGGAGTTGGGGGCGGAGCAGGAGGTAGTGGGAATACACCAAGCTTAGCTGAAATGGCTGCGGCTTCACGATCTGTCAGTGCAGGTCAAATGGCAAAATTAAATCAATCAATGGCAAAAGTACTTGATCCACGTATCCTACAACAAATGGGCGGTATGGCCGGTCTACAAAATATGATGCGTCAATTACAAGCTGGCGGTGGTCTTGGACCGTTTGGTGGTGGTGGGGGTGGTCGTTTAGGTTAAACTACAAAAAGTTTTTTTTTCTTTTTAAGAAAAAATGCAATTGCCAGATATTTGTCTTTCTTTGTAAAACACATACATATACCTTAAATTCTTTGTTGTTATCTACTATTCACTTCTTTAAACATTAAAACTAGAACAGGACAAGGTTTGTATATACAGTACATACGTACATACAATTGTTCGTTTTAATGACTTGAATTAAACATGGTCTATTTTCTCTAAAAAAAAAATAAATGTTTGATCTCTTTCCATTCCTCTTATTAATTATGTAATCCTGTTTAATTGGTTATCTTTTACTACCTCGATTATAAATAATGTACTTGATATTAGTGTGTGTGTGTGTGTGTGTAATGATCCGAAAGAAAAGAACGTCTACAACAGTTGTTCTATTTTATGTAATATGATCTTTGAAATGAATTGGGTGTTGTTTACTCGAAGTAATATATTATATTACTCGGTGAAGAGAGAGAGTGGCTAATAGTATCTGTGAATCATGTTTAATTTCATGATACACATTACTGTTTAACTCAATAAATGTTTTGTAAGATTTTCTTTCTTTCTACTATTAACTTAAAAGTATAGGAATTAATTAATTAGAGAAAATTTGTAGCTTAATTGGATGATTTTGATGGAGTTTTGTTCTCTAAGCTGGATGGTTTTGATCGTGGAGCTTTCATCGTTCTTCTGAACGACATCATCGGCATAAACTTGTCAATTACAAGTTAAAAGTCAACAGGACGTGCTATAAACCACATGTGGAGAAATTCGAACACTCCACTTCTGCTGATGATGTCGTTCAGAAGAACGATGAAAGCTTCACGACCAAACCATCGGCGAGACTATTATTTGTGGATGAGCTTTGAGTGAATCTTAAATGACCTTGAGAAATATTAGCCAATCAGCAGACAGCCAGTATAGGGTAAAAAATATATTATACAAAACCAAAGAATTATTGTGAACACACTTCTCATACATGGTTTAAAAACTTGTCAAGGTTAGGAAGAGGTTCAGAGGTTCTAAAATCCGTAATGCATATAGTAGAGGAAATCATCTATATGGCTACGCGTTCGTCTACAAGGTGATGCCTCCTAAAGTTGTGTTTGGTAAGGTCGCTAAGAAAGCGTCTAAGGTTAAGATGCTAAAGGTTGAGAAGAGGAAGAAAGAGAGTTATGCTGTCTAATTCTCAATCGTAAATATCAAGATTTAAATGTTCTACAAGCTAAGAATTTACAATTCTATGCTAATTGTGATAAGAGTGCCTTGTTCTAATGACTTTGAAAAAAAAACATTTTAAGTTAGTTTGATAGTAGCAAGTTTTATTTGATTCCAATAGATTTATTAGGTCATTGTTAATGTACGGAAATAAAGTACTCAAGGTCAGTCAAGTGCTTTAGTACAAACCTGCCAGTCACTTCGTTTTCATCGTTTATTAGTTACTAAGTAAACACATTAATTCTGGTACAATTGAGTACCTTAAAATTATGCCCTACACAAGTAGAGATACTATTGTGACGAAATAAAGGCGATAAGTGATCAAGAATAGTATAAGGTACAATTCAATAAAAAAGGAATTCAAATAAGAAAGACACAATCCTTCCACTCTCATGGAAAATGTCAAAGAAAAGTACAAGTAGATCACCCCAAACAACTTTCATCATAAGAAAATTTACTCTTATATACACGTTGAAGGTGACTTCAAATGTTCCTATTTAATTTTGTTGGTTCGGATAACACCGGTAGCAGTAGTCGGACGATACCTTTCAGATGAATTATTATCTGGTCCCTGTGACTTCCAAGTTCCAACCTGTACAAAGTACAGGGAAATCCACCAAAACTCCATAGTAAACGAAACTAGCTCAGCCCCAAACAAAGAAATCAGTCAGCAATTGTTGAGTGTTGTTTCAAAGGAATGTAATCAAGGTACGTTTATACATATACTTATGATTTTATATAAATAATAATGTAATTTCATCTCAATATATTAATGGTTTGAGAACTTATGTATGTCCCAAGTTCTGCGTTGATCATAACGAACTGACTTTGAGTTAAATTTGGAGATATATCAAACCTACAAAAGATAAAGGAAAATTGTCGACATGGGTATTTTTTTGTTTGTTCCCCAACGTGATTGTCAAGATGCTGAAATATATCTTCATTGCAATTATTTTCTTTGTAACCGGGTCGGTAACTTGTATACGATAGATGTCCGTTAGTGTGGAGTAATTTAGCTAACTTGTCTATAATTATTACGATTATCTCATTAGAACCAGGATTAAATAGTGTTAATGAATAGAGCACTAGGATATATTATTGTTAATCTAATAACTAATATTCATTAGGAAGTGGTACGAACAACACAGCATAGTAGGCGGTTTCGGTCGGATTCTAGATATTGACAAGCGGATGCGACTAAAACCTTTCTATGAGCTAACTATGTTTCTACTGAGAGGAGTATCAACCGACTGTATGTTACAGAAGTCTCCTTATTTCAATATGCATTATTTCACCAATCAAATAGTCAGGTATGCTTACCGGATTTAGTTGTTTGGTTATCAATTTGCATAGATTAAATGATCCAAGCTCACTAATTCACGCTTAGATCCTATATAAGAACCTAGCAGAATGGTGCAACTCTTACATACCAGAAGTTCAATTAATCAAACTTGTTAACACCTACTTCCTTTAGTGGTTGACTAACTGTTGTACTAGAAATCCCAGTATGATGATTCCTATCTTGTCATGTACAAAATGTGCGAGTCCTACTAAACACATTATTTCGCCTCAGGATAAGTGGACACCATTTCGGTAATTAAGAAACTATGGACAAATTAACACTTAAATGTCTTTTATTACTAAGCACATGGTTGTAGAATATCTTGGATTGGTTGGAGTTAGACATTACCACTGTTGAATGCCAGCTCAGTAGTCTGAAGGTCAAGCATTTGCACGCGAGACCGAAGGTCCTGCGTGAGGGACTGTGATGTGTACTATTGAGTAGTCCCACTGTAATACAAAACGGCCGTCCAATGCTCCTACGTTTTCAATGGTAGTCTAACATTGATCTCAATGAAAACATAATTTTCATGATAATATTCATCTGCATCATCGACAACTCATACCTTGATCTGGCATAGATTCGATTCGTATAGTTCCCATTGAAGTAACTAACAGTCAGATGGTAGTTATCTGGACTTGTACACCAACATACGTGATTGGACTACTCAATGAATTAGATGCCTAGATTCAAGCCAGTACTGTAAAACTCGATTAGAATATCAATGCAAACTGACTGTAACTTGCTTGTAAAATATCTAGATTATGAAATATAGACCTGAAAAATTCCGGTTAGTTGGATTTCTGATAAGTCAGGCATATATTTCTAATTGAATTAATTATGCGAATAAACCTGAAATTAATATGACATTAGTGTACTTTTTTCTTTTTAATAAATACATGTTCTCAGTATTTATCTTACTTAATGTTTAATTTTATTCCTTCACATGCGTCTGGTTCCATTATTAAGTAATTAAAGCGCTTGATTTCAAACCATGAAACTACCTATTCGAATCACATTCTACGTAATTCGGTTTTAGCAGCCGGCTGGAGTAACTTGATCTTACACAAATAAATATAGTTTGATGATGAGTAATGAATAAAGTAAAATCTCTTTTACTGTGGTTTATTCACCCATGACGCTGGTAGTTTTATGGCGATATACTGTTGAATTCTAATATGATAAACATGTCAGTGAAATATTTATGAAAGAAATATTATGTCAATGAGTAACAAACATCAGATATTTGAGTAGTGAATATATTTCGGTATAATTACTCAACATATACACCAAAGAATAACGAAAAATATGTTACAATAATAAGAGCGTCAAACATTATTGGGAAGAACAATAATTAATAATCTATCCTTCATCTTCGTCGAGATCAAATGACAACAATGAACATTTCGTGTCTTTACGTTTAGAATCAATGGGTGAACGATCTCGGATAGTCCGTTTTTGTTGTTGAGGTGGTAGTGGTCGATTATTTGAATGAATCTCACTATCTGTCCTCTTTACTGGGATTTTACTATCGGAACAACGTTCTTCAGCAGATCGAAACATTATTCGACTTGGTACGCCTACAATAACAATTATAAGGAAAATAAAATTAGGAAGGGACTGTGAATGAAAAAAATAAATAGAAATTTTACCTGGTTCTTCATTTTTCACATTAGTTTCTTCTATATGACCAAGTTTATGTTCATACTGCCATTGTTTAATAAATGCTCTTGCTTCTAATTCATGAACATCAGAACATGGATCAAAAACTATTTGTGGCTGCTCATCTGGCCGATCATCTTCATCATTATCATCAATACTTAATTCTGTACGCTGAAAAAACAACAGTAATAAAGAGAGGAGGCATTAACTCTAAGAAACTTTACTATTAAATTGTTTGTTAACCGTTGTTGTAATCAATAATCTTAATATGAGTGATATGTGGTAACTACTAACTCACTTTCGAGTCAATAGTTGCAGCTGTCGGAATACCGGCACGTTGTTTAAATTCTTTTATAAATGACGGTTCTTCGTTTTGAATAAATTGAACTTTAGGTTTCTTTGACATTGTTTTCGTTAGTGTTTCTTATGGATACCTATAAACGAACGAAAAACACATCGACTTTGAATGAGATCAAAAAAGAAAACATGACAGTCACTACTTACAGCAATAAGATGAATACATGTATTTCCGTGACTATGACAGATTTTAAACCAAAAAAATCAAATCTACAAAACTTCAAATCAACAATCAAACTTTATTAAAAAAAGTCTGGATCATCAAAGCAAGATTAGCTTCTCGAACATTTTTGCGAAGTCACTGAATAATAACAATCTGTTGCAAAACACTACACTTCGATAAAATCAAAGTTGGAGAGTGATAAAGAAGCGAATTTATTTACTTAAGCAAAACCTATTCCTTCTGAGTTCATGAATTGGTGATATATTTGAAAAATCTGACCGACTAAGTTCATTACTCCAACATTTCCGACACATCATAAGTTTCTGCTACAGATGAGTGAGACGTTACAAGTGACTATACTTTTAAACAAACTAGCTACAGTAATGAACACTATGAATAAAGAGAAATGGATAAAATTTCGGAACAAAAAATGAGGGGCGGTACCATAAAAAAAGAATTAGAATATGATAAACAAGAAATACATTTGAACAGTTGCGACTAATTTTGAGCCATGTCACTTAGTCTCTGCCTACAAATGATAACTCTCTGTTGAAGCTCAATGCGAAAGTCTGTACAAAACTCAAATGGACAGCAAATGATTTCGTTTTTACTGTCAAGCCTTTTCCAACTTAATAGTAATGCATATTATTTAATAGGATAGAGAATAATCATTATCACTCAATATTAAACTAGAGAAAACGAAGAAGTTTAGTTCAGTATCTGTATTTAGCATTTATACACAACTTGAATAAATGTTTAACCTATACATAGTAAGCAGAGATCTTTAAGCTCTATTCATTCTGTTTCCGCTACCTCTACGATGTTCATCTTTGAATTCATCGAATGATCGAGCTTTTGACAACATATCAGGATCATCGGCATCCTCTAATTCATCTTGGTTAGCCTTTTTCTTTTCCTCAGCTTCACGTTCTTCTGCTGATGGATCAATTCGCACCACATTTGGTCGTGATCCACTTTGAAGAATAGGTTTTGGAGGAGGTAATAAACCAGCTGCAACCTAAGAACAGAACAAACAAATTGGTAACAACGGGAAATATTAATGAAACAGAGTTTATTTAGTGATCGTGTTATAATATTTGAAAAAAAAAACAATTGAATTACGGCGAATAGGTAACAATGAAAATACTGAGAAAATACCTAGTAGGTATGAATAGAGGCGTGGGTTTGTGGTTTGAACACTTAACATTAATTTATTAGGTTGACGTTTGAACCCCACAATATCTAATTTGATTTTGGGAGCTGGATAGTATCAATAGCTTTTATATAACTAAGGCAATAAAGCTTTTGTTAGGAACTAAAGAAGTTAGGGCATCTTTTGATGTTATTTATTAACAAAGAGCCTGGCAGAGATTTGCATTCGCTTAATTTGCAACACTTAATCAGCATGACAAAATGAAAATAACAGGACGGATAGAAACAATGTCGTAGCACTGAAAAACTAAATTTAAGGAATATGATTTAAAAGGACAGAGGAAAGGTATGTATGAAGAGATATTGAAATTCAAGATCTAGGGGAAGATAGAGATTTAATGTATCTGCACCACTGTGAGCGATTCAGAGCCATACCAATCAATTTCGCTGACCACTGACTACGGTTTTCATGCAGACCACGACCAGGTAGTTTGCGTCTACGTATATGACTTAAACCATCAGTTAGTGACTTCACCAATTGATACTATGTCTTGGTTTGGTTACCCTTAGCTTTCTTTCAACCTATTTCTTGATTACAAAGCACAGCTCTTCAAGGTAGAAAACCTGTGCTGGGGTGCTATCAAGTTTCCTAAGCTATATACTTGTCGTTTTGAACATTATCAAGTTACCAAGTTACATCATAAAAGTCTGACATCTAATGAAACGAAAGCACCGTAACAAACAAGACAGGTTTTTTAAAGTTTCGTAGCCCTATTTTTGGGAAGAACTGTTTGGTACGTTAAAAATTGCTATTTCATGTTTCAATTGATTCTGGCATACTAAATGAATGATAATGCTGAACGCCTCGTTCGGTAAATGCCAGTATTTCTCAAGATGATTTTAAAAATATATATAAAAGAAATCAAACCTGTATTGTCACACTTCATCAGAATAAAAAAATCTACGTAACAGCTGGTTATTTTATGACTAAGCCAGTTTGTTAAAACTTATGATGAGAAAAGTGTTTCCCCGTAAATATGTTGGTAATGATATTTATCTATAGAGAATATAAATCGGAATAGTCAAAATCCTACTTTTCTTCAGTCACGTTCAAAAAATGCTATCAAAAGTTGACTGAGAGAACTTGACTAAAAAAAACGTTGCTTCCATCATTTTAATTTTTACTCTTTGGATTTGAAGGATGATAGACATTGTAAAAGAAATTATAATTAAATTTTAAATTGAACTATCAGATAAGAATGGATATGCCCTCAAAGTGTCATATTCACTAACATTAACTTACGAAATTTAACCAATTTTAAAGAACAGGTTTATGTATTTATTTTTTAGCTTCATAATGTTATATATCACGATACTAGTTAGTCAAGAAAATCAAAGCTGGACAAGCAACATCTGAATTTGATTGTAATTATTTGCAAATAGAGTGGTGTAACTACTAATCTGTCGTTCTGCTTTAAAGAACGGTGTGATGGCAGTAAAATACAATAACAATCTAGCTAACCTGTTGGTCATAAAACTCCTCAATAGTCATTGTCGGAAGGCTTGGATAACCAGCACCGAACACTGCAGCTTGTGCAGCTGACCGAGTTATTATAAATGGTCGCAAAGGTTCTGATCTGGTCACATTTATGTTATTCTCGTTTATGGGACTGCCTTTCGCGAGAATGTCCAGTTCGTTTTGTAGACTGATTATATCATCTTGCGCGACGCAAAGCCATCTTTGAACAAGAGTTAAATTGAACTCACGCTACAAAATAAGCATAGATAATTGAGGTAATAAATTTACTGAAGATCAAGAGTGTTAAACAAAAGAATCGAGGAACTGTCTTTGACACATTCTTCTACAGTGACTATATACTTAATAATTGATTTGTCTTGGTTATTGTGGATGATTGGATCAAAGTACCAATTAAATGGAAAAAACACCAATAAAATAAACGGATTATCAATTATTTATTATCTGCTTAAATCTTGGAAATCACATTACTATAAATTTTTATCGCTTCTTATTAGCTCATATCTTTACTTACATTTAATATTGGTGTCTTATATTGGCAATATTGCTGAAAATGTTGACTTCAGAAATTTGTATAAACTTAGCAGTGAATTGGAGATGATATTAAGATCAAATTCTTCTCAGTGAAACTGGAGCTGATGCATCTTAAAGCAATCTGACGGAACTCGATCTATTCAGTTCAAAATGTTAGCTTCTCGATTATTATGAAATCATTTGAAGAGGAAAAAAGAAGGGTTTTTAAATGTACTATTTAGTTATCATAAAATATGGATGACTTTTACGAAAATGTCCAGCAAACCATTTATTAAAAATGATACGAATAGAGTAACAAAGTTGATGAGATCCAGTTTGGACATCCACGCCATATAAGTAATAGTGACAGTGATTCATTAGGCAATCAGTAGTCATTTGATGAGACGTCAAGGTACAGCGGAAATCTCATATTTATTTACATGAAATATTTCGTGATTACATAGCAATAAACACATAATGACCTTTATGGACTTTGATATCATGATTATCCCTGGAGTTGTAAATATGCATTGTTAGTAAGAATCAAGGTATATAATTATCAATCCAAGAACTTATGCCAGTTATTGCATAATAAGGAATACGTATGTTGATTCGTTAGCTGGATTTTAATAATGACTGGAATATGATTTCGTTAGCTACCTGTTAAATAACCTCTAAATTCGATATATATACACGTTTATAACTAAAAGTTTAAGACGGTTAAACACAATTTTCCCTCTAAATTTTACATGACTGGACCTCATGTTATAAACGTATTACTCAAACACTAACCGTGTCATTTTGTGTAATCTCATTTATGACTGGTCATTTGAGTCTATTATAAATGATCTTAGGTAACTAGTTGTCGTTTACACAGCTGTATACTTAATGAGTGGTGCTTTTGCTACAATCTTAGCGTTTACCGTCGATCAAGAAGTTATAGGTTCGTTTAGATACATTTTTGTCAATTTCTACTAACTTTTATGAATTGGTCCGACAGATACAACTAGTGAAGAAAAAGTAGTTAGTAGTATTTACTATAGATATATAAAAATTGTATACCTTGGTTTCTTCATCAACATGAGGTTGGTCCACGTACGATGCAAGCTTTTCCAAGCGTTCTTCTAGCGCTTTCTTTGATTTATAACGTTTTATTTTGACTTCACGATCGTGTGCAAGATCTGACATTGAGGGCTGACCGGAACTGTGGTTGTTTCTAAGTAAGATGTAGAGAAACATAGAAAACATAGTCCTAAGCAAGACCGCTGCCTAAAATATCTGAGAAAAGAAAACGTCAGTTTTTATTCATGAATTTATGATTTTGCAGACGGAGGTCAGGAAGGTCATACTTTCCACATAGTTTACAAAAACGCATAAACGGACGCTATGGGTTGATCTGGCTATCAGTAGTTCACAATACCCACCAAACTAGCAGCAAAACTTGAAATTAAAGAGTGGAATAACATGTATAACATTTCAGCTAAGGTAGCACTAGCTAACAAAATCATTCATTTCGTCCTTACCGATAACCTACTTCTGCAATTACAGGTACCCACTTTGGGATTTACATAAGCTAAACTAAACCAATTGACAAGCGGTTATCCAGTTCCAAAATTATGTAGCATAGTCGTATGGTGATATTTGGCTAACAACATTATGATAGTTAAATGAAGTGTTTAGGTGTTCTAACACTATACACGGTTTAAAACTTGAAGCACGAGTACATTTAACGGTCTTTCCAATTCTGTATGTCTTGAATAATTTTATCTAAACCTTGAGACGGACACTAGAGTTACACGGATTTCTCCCGAGGCCTATTCATATATTTAATAATTTAAAAACTTATTCAAAGCAACGTTTACTTGAATAATTGTTCAACTTCCAAGAGTTTGAAGAAATAGCTGACTTTGATCAACGGAAAACACAAACTTAAGAAAAGTACAGGGAATGCTGATTCACAAGAATGTTTAAAAATCAGAAATAAAAAACATACTTTTCCAAAGACACTCCACTTGGAAACAACACGCCATAATCTGAGCAAAGTTTGAAAAAGTCCTTGTACAGAGACTAACTCAAGCGAATCAGGACAAACATATCATACCAAAGCCAAACGAATACAAGATAGCCGATCTTCGTTTTTCTGAGAGTTGAAATAACCAAGTAATGCCGGAAGACATATGTATCTGTATCAAATAGTCTCCAATGAAAGACATTATCACCTTATTTCGGCAGAGCTTAGATCGTCTAGGCTTTCGTTTTCGCTAAACAAGCAAAGTTCATTTACCATGTTCATTGCATTTTCACACAATCGACACGCAATCACGAGGAGATCCTGACAATAAAGCTCAAAATCGAGATAAAACCTTAAATTTCGGATCGGCATACGATCCTTTATAGTCTGCAACTTCAGAGTACTTCTTCAAAACTTGTGAAAACACATCGGGCAACCTATCATTCATAACTGTGGCGGTTCGCGTCTAGCTAGTAGGTACTTGTGTACTAGAGAAGCACACAGAGTAGCGCGAGTCAGAGCTGAAAAAAGAATAAGGAAAGGTGTGTCGATGACCCAAAACGCACATAGTGCACTTACATTTACCAAGGAAAGAAGCAGACAGCAATCAGCAATAACACAAGCCTTAGACTAAGGTAATCTTGGGATCGAAAGTGGGAGCAAACAGCATTGCCCGCTGAAATAATGACCCTGAAATCCAATTTGGGTGACCTTTTGTTTAAACAGTGGAAATTAACAAATTATTTTCAGTCTTCAGTCTTTAGTAATAAGGATAGTAGGTTGGTGAACCTTTATTAATCCTGACACATTGCTTTCCAGTGAAGAACCAGCTTATCCTTGAAAATATTCACTGATGGGGCTGATACCACTTGTTCGAGTAAGACGTTCCAATAATTGAGTACTCGATGAGAAAAGCGGGACCCCACTTTAAGTTTATTAGATCGCGGTTTGTGAACCTTCTTGCTATGACCTCAGAGATTATTAATGCTGGAGGGAGCAAAAAGATAAGGAATATTAACACTCAAATCATAATTAAAGATACGAAATGCCAGTATAAGGTCACCTCGTGTCCCACGATACGACAAGGAGAAAAGGCTTAGGCGTTTTAAACGCTCATTGTAAGGAAGTCTAGAAGGACCCTTCACTAACTCCGTTCCCACACGCTGGACACGCTCAAGGGAGTTAGTATCCTTTGCCAGAAACGGGCTAGCTGCTTGGATACAGCACTCTAAATGCGGTCTTACATATATGGGATATAAAATTCGAAACGTTTCCTCGTCAAAAGATTTGAACTCTCGGCGAGGTGACCACAACGCACGAAAACCTTTGATAGCGGCTGCTTTGCAATGCGTTGTCTTTATGCTCTTGAACGCATGGAATAGGTTTACCCTCAATAATGTAACAGTGACTATTACCGTGACCGATGTGCATTAGCACACTCTTCCTAGCATTGATTTCTAAGCCCCACTCTCGAGCCCATCTAACTAAATCGTCTAAGTCATCTTGAAGATCCAGGTGATCAGCAGCACCTTTTATTGTTCTCCCGATTTTTACATCATCCGCAAACAATAATGTCGACGACCTAAGTAACAGCGGTAACTCATTAACGTAGAGAAGGAAGAGCAGGGGGCCTAAGATGGATGTAGACAGAATAGAATGGGCATTCACTCAATGAGATTTCACTACCAATAAAAATAGATTAGGGTTACTATTATGTTGGGACCTATGTATTTGTAAGGAGGAGCAAGTAATGGAAACTCTGGAAAATTAGCACTATGGTCCGTGTGAGGTCCTCATGGAATGTAATATTTTCAATTTAAAGGCCATGAAGAAGTCGCCTGGATCATGTCAGCCTTCGGAAAGCGATGACTCTTGACTCCGCTTAGGTAATCAGGTGTTTATTCATAATCCAACCTTGTATTAAGGCTGCTTGAAAATTATTTTGGTCACATTTCATATGATTCAAATGTTTACAGACGGAATGTAGGAAGCTTTAACTTGACAGGTTTAGTATTTGCTTGTATTGGGTTGGCGATGGTCTAATTTAGGGACCTAGAGATGCAAAGCAAACAAGTATTATAAGCATTAGTACATTGGTAAAAATTAATGTTCTGCTTTGCTCTTGAAGAACTTCAGAAAACGTCAGTTGGTTGAGGGTTTTTCAAATCTGACTACTCGAAACAAGTAGAAGTTGTGCCTACGGTCTAACTTGTCATGTCGTGCCCCTAATTCCTGGATATTTTCGTAGGTGTTTATAAAACTGTCAGTCTTTGAGCGAACGTCTCTGAGTCCCCTCCATTCTAAAGTTTAAGGATCCAGTAACTTACAGGTTTCTGAGTTAAGCGTGAATCTGAGTCTACGAATAAATTTCGTGGCTCATTTATGGTTACGACCTAGGCTATATTTTTTGTGAGTAAACACTACTACCAAACACCAAGTTTGAATAAAGCTGATAAATGTTTAGTAAAAGGTTATCTTATTAAACTAGTAAGAAAGACAATTCAAAGTTCCTAGTATAAGGTTCGTTCTAGAGGGATTATTGCCACTAATTGCATAAGATTTTAGATCTAGAGTAACAGGATTTCAAGATTTTTTGGACTAGGGCTACCCAAGTTTTGTGGTTGGCTTTATAACATCTCTCCTACAATTAAGTTTGTTTACAATCAATTTTGTCGAGTCCTTCATTTACCCCATTTAACAGACAGTTTTATTTGGGCAGCAACGATTTGTCTATGCCTTTGTATGATTATTATAACTATCATCTCCGTACGAACATGGAAGCACTGGACGGCCGTTTCGTCCTAGTATGGGACTCCTCAGCAGTGCTCAACCACGACTCCGCACCCAGCATGATTCGAACCCAGGACCTACTGGCTTCGCGCATGTGCACTCACAGAAGACAATGGTGTACGGTGGCGCAACTTCGTGGATTGGTTGAAGTTAGACATTAACACCGTTGGATGCCGGCTAAGTGGTCTAGTGGTTAAGTGCTCGCGCGCGAAGCCAGTAGGTCCTGGGTTCGAATCTCGCAAGGGTCGAGGTCGTGGGTGCGCACTGCTGAGGAGTCCCATACTAGGACGAAACGGCCGTCCAATGCTTCCAGGTTTTCCATGGTGGTCTAGCTTCAGTCGACTCGTGATTTCAACTTGTGAAATTTCCAAAAAGAACTCTCCACAAAACCCATTCTGATATATATATGCTTGAGTCTTACAAAGTGACTCGAATTCGAATTCGCCTCTGTGTTCACTCACTCGCACGTATTAGCTATTCTGCTCACATTTACTTGGTGCATTTGAAGCTTTGTGATCCGTGCTACTCTATAGTAAACTGTAGTTGGCGCTTAGTGTTGCCTCCTGAATTAATAGGCCGTTGGAATTTATCTAATAACGGTTGTCAGGGTGATTGGTATAGGAAGTGTAAAGAATTATCTCGAAGCCAAACCACCACAGTTTGCAACATGCTACAGATGGACCACTTTGCACTATGGAGTGTTGAAAATTGGTCCATCATTTTCCCCCCGACATTGAACATGTTTTTTTAATCCTCTTGAGGTGCTAGCTTACCATACTTATCGAGAACCTGCATCCAAAACTCAGTGTAGTCAACAAAATATATCTCAGAGGATACTTGTTGAGGAAGGTCTGCGACATCTTGGGTTGATTAGTTAATGAGTTGACCTCAAACATCCAAGTATATGTCATTCACTTCCTCATTTCGTGTAGATATTATATTTCCTATTATCTGATATTGGATGTTGAAAAGCTTTATGTAACCTCGCGCTCCACTGTATGCTGCCTGTTATATTCCAATGAGAATAATGAATGGTAACTGTTGGGACCTATTTCTGGAATAATACTACACATATTTTTATCGTATAATTGTTAAGTAACTAAAGTATTCATATTCATGTCTGTCTTACCATAAGCGTCATTTTGACCTATGAACCATTATTATACGATTTACCATTCTTCAGTTATACCCAGTCTATTAATTACTATCTCCCACATTCACATCCATTTTTGGCTAGATCTTGTACAAATGTTGTTTCCTATTTTGTGGTACGACATGGTCTGTTTGGTTTGTATATAAACCTAGTATGTTTGAAATACGTGATTCATATCACGGAGGCTGAGATTGGTGTTCTGGACTCAACAGACTTGATTAGGTTGGGAGGGAATCAGGACCGGTAAAGACTCTGAACTGCTCGTACGGGTTTCATGCATGTTGGGATATTCAGGAAAATATCCCAAAAATTATCCTGTTAAGCCTAATGCTATCCTTGGACATGAAATGGTATCATCTTATTGGTCAATATTTGTTTAACGTGTCACTTTCCTACTGGCCATTATTGTACAATGTTATTTTCTATTTTATGGTACGTTGTGGTCTGCTTGACTGGTATATAAGCAAAGTTGGTTTGAAATATATTGATTCATATCTCCGAGGCTGTGACTTGTGTTCTGGAGTCAACTGACTGGGCTAGACCGGGAAGCGAGACCAATCAGAACCCTAGGTCGTTCTACGTGTTTGCGCGTCTTTGGTCCGATCAATAATTCGCTACCCCTTAATCAGCAGTATTATTTTTCACGGTTATAACAATGCACCATTTGTCCGATCGATAATTCGCTATTCTTTAGTAGGCGGTATACATTACACATTAATAAGACACTGCGTATAGGTTATATCACTGTCCCACGGTCTTAATAAAGACCTATTCACTACCAGTCTCGTTTGTTTATTCAGTAGAGCGGAGGGTACCTCCCGGCACAAGAGAGCATTTGATTAAATTAAAAATAGAAAGTTCCAATTATTGAATTCTGAGAGATATCATCAGAACATTTTCCAGCCTACGGAAATGTTAGTTTACTCTTACTTTAGAAGCTCAGTCATTTAAATATGGAAAAGAAGGTGTTAAAGATTTAAGGGAATAGTACATTTAAACCTATGGAGAAATATATGATCGTGAGAACACAAAACATACTAATTAGGGGAGGATATAGATAGC